TCGCAACCAGCCGCACTCGTGTATCTACTCAATATTCTTGCAGCCTTAGTCTTTATATATGATACCGACTGAGATGTTCTTGAAACAGAGTACCGATGCACGTGATTGACATGGAGATGTGGACTGCTCTTGGTCATCAGGTAACATCATATACGATGAAACAGTATGGTACAATATAGACAAACGACCTTATAAGAAAGGTGAATCAGTGCTACTCTCAGCAATCGGCAGCACACAAACGGAAACAAACAGTCAACCATTTCAACACGACATTGCCCTGACCAATTCTCCTCAGTTTGAATGCTGGCGAAAAGCTCAGAAGCATGAAGAGGAATCCAGAAATGTGTCAAAATCAGGTAGGCAAAGTGGGAGAATCTCAAGGAGGGACTAAATCCGGAACCTTCGTTAGGTCAAAATGCATCGCAACCTCCGCGGATCTGGAATTCAGCTCATGCATCCATGGATTTTTTCACCATTACGTAAGAATGATAGAGAAAAGGCCATTTTGGCCAATAAAACTGACTACTTTCTTCTACTTTTCCATTTATTTTTATAAAATCTGAATTTTCAAATTTTTCCCGCCAAAAAAGACTCACACTACACCACCGGCCATGCTTGATCCCCACTGGTCCATTTTCATATGGCTCACTACTTTCGACCTATTTTCCAAGGTCACTGATAGCTGGTCCCCGAACTGTACATAAACAGATGACCTGTCCGCTTTCTTCGCCTTTTAAGGTCGGGTGAAATATACAACCTCGCCTGAAGGGCCTGTCTTCCGTATTCTCTCTGGTCGGGTTTCGGGGATCGTACTGATTCGTGGGGCGTTTTGTCACTTTTCGGTTGGGACTCGCTTGGGGTACCGCAGTCGGGCGCACCGGTGTACCGTCACCATTCCGTTGGGTCGTACGGTTCGGTTCTTGGGTCTCTGCTGCCGCACGTATCGTTGGTCACGGCTCGTGCTAGTTCAGTCGCATCGCCCACTCACAACGTTACAACAGGGGGTGAGACAACCCAATCAATCGGAACCACCAGGTTAAATCTCGTACATTATTCTTGGTCTCCTCAGAGTGATGAGTTGGTGCACTCTCTATTGATCATTATTTCCCGCAGCTCCGGTAGTTAGCATGATTACCATGTGATAGATAAAGTTTAATGCCATTCGATACTCAGAAAACGAGACAATACATGGGCGCTAGTTCGCCGCCCAAAAGTGTGGACCTATCGACATAACGTCTATGTATTCCGAATGGTTTTGATCCGACTAGAGAAAACAGGGATCAAATAATTTCACTTGTGTTACATCATATCCCAGTCTGAGAATGATATATAACTTGGGCTTCAAAGAACATTGTTTGAACCGAGGCCTTCAACAGCCACATCTCTCCAAATCGAAGGCGCTTTGCCGTATTCCGAGCCCGATTGAGAAGGTAGATCGAACGCAAAACAGGAGCACGTCCGATTGTGCCGTTCGTGACAGAGAAAAAGCTTAAATTCTGAATGTGGAGGCGGACGGAAGTGGATTCGTTTAGCAGTTGTTACAATCGCGTCAGTGTGTAGCACGCAACGTCGATAGACAACCAATATTACACACACACACACACACACACACAGAAGTATGTTATGTGCAGTGTGACAAAAACGTTTTGTCCGATGCACAATGGTTCTGCTCTATCGATTGAGGTGTGCTTTAAAAGCACAACCAGCACCAGCTCATATGATCTATCTAACGTAAAAATCAAGCAAATTGCATTAGAGACATTATTTATGAGCATTCTTTTATTTAGAAAGCTGAATGAATGACAGCAAAACCAGAGCATGGTCATGTAGGATTAGTAACGGTGCAAATTAAAACCGAAGACTTCAACAACTGGCACCCTATTTCTATTGAGTCATCACTCTCACTCTGTGCGCTACATAAATCTAATAAATGAAACAACTAAGCTAATATGTGAAACGTTTCATCCTAAGGAATGAGCAACAAAATTGTTTCATCTATTCACCGATGAGTAGTTACAGATGTCCCATTTTAAGTCTTCGAAGAACAACTACCGTGCAGCGCCCCTTCAAAAACATTCCATGGCGTTCAGCAAGACTACACAGGTTTGATTCATCATCGACTTCGTTCTGTAGATAAGTAGTTTATTTATTAAACTGTTCGACCTCGGTGTACACATCACAAGGATATGGTGCAAGATGCAATCAACGGACAATGGTGGTTTGTCGAGAACGATACTGTTCAATGAAACCAATAATTCTAGAACATAGAAATGGCTGTTTCCCTGCTGTCCATGTTTTAATCCACGCACAGATGCACACATGTATCCCCACAACGGAGAGACTGTAATCGCTTGTTTAAGTGATCCGTGTCAAGTAAAAGCTACCACAAAATCTGAAAGTCGGATTTGGGACTTCCGGTTGTGCTGTTTACTGCCGACGAGCATACCACTTTACCTAGTTTCCCGAAATGCACTACCTACTGCCACTGGAGTCATTTCCGAACCTATTCCAGCTGATCTCAACAGTTCAACTTGGATTCCTAACACTTTTTACGTTTCATCACGACAATACTGTATCTTGCCTTGGTGTGATGATATGTGTGCCTCCATGACCCTGAGAGCTTTACAGGATGGTTCCTCAGACACGGGTCCAATCATGTCTGAAAGGTCAATGGGTAGAGGTCAGACGAGGTTCAGTTTCACAAGGCCAGCTGCTTGGGCACCTCCTGGCTTCCCTTAACTATCCACTCCAGCCCCTGGTGAGGTTACTCCAGCAAATAAACACGGAGAGGGGCAGTTTACCGGTCAAAAAACCCCGCTAGATGGACGTAAGAGCGAGGTACCTGAGGCTTCCTCCTGACAGTGAGCGATGTCTTCACACTTCACTGGACAGCCGACATTGTGCTGTCAAGTGAAGATCCAGACAAGCTTGTCTGGATAATTTGAGTGCTAATGTAATCATGTTCGGGATGCGTTTTGCACCTTCAAAGTGTAAATTGTTGCTACAAGATTGGGTTGGTCCAGCAACAGATCTCACCCTGACTAGGGAAGTAGACAAATTTTGCCATTTGGGCAGCTATATCTCACCTGGCGGACGCATCACAGATAAATTGTCGGCGCGCATACAAAAGGCTCAGTTGGCATTTGCGAACTTGCGACATCTATGGCACCGTTGTAACATCCGGCTGTCCGTGAAGGGTCCAGTGAGTACATGCTGCAGAAGTTCGATCAGTGCTACTTTACAATGCAGAGACTTGGCAACTACAGGAACATGATAAAAATAGATTTTCGGTGTTCGAACACCGCTATCTACGTCGCATTGTACGAGTCTGGTGGGGTAACCGGAAGTGAGGTTAGGCGTAGAGTCGCAGTCGTCCACTGGATCAAGTGATCGACGTCCATAGATTACGCCAGTTGGGACATGTATTGCCTATATCACCAAATAGGTTGCCACGACAAACGATGCTTTTCGACGCAGGTAACCGATGGAAAAGGATCAAGGGCGGTAAAACTAAAACCTGGTATGACGGTATGAAAAAACTGATCGGGAGACTGGGTCACATAGGTACCGTTAGGCTCCCGGATGGAAAACTCGAGATCATGGTAATCGGTGGATAGTGAAGCTGTGTGATATGGCTGGGTGTCGCAACCAGCCGCACTCGTGCATCCACTCAATATTCTTGAAACCCTAGTCTACATATACGAATGGTCTATCTTATCTTAGACTCTGCTCTCAACATTCCAATCTTCGTTCTGCTCGTTTATCCAAATGGGCGAACAAAGGACAACAACCAAAACCGGCTCACGAAAGTACATGGTTGATGGTTATATAAACTGAAACTGGAAGCATTTGATGATCCAGTCACATTTGTGAATTTGTTCAATGTTCTTGCTAATATTCGACATTCTCCAAACGACACGAATCGTTGTTCCCGCGGAATTTCTACGCTTTTTACAAAACTTGAGTATACTTTGCGTCTGGATACTGAGAAAATGTTCCGGAAATATTGATTTGTTTTAGGCAATGATCACAGTTCGGCCCTATCGCTATTATCCTAGTATTGATCACTCAACTTGCTTCCGGATTAGGGATTTCATGATCAGCCTAATCAAAGGTTGAAGGCGTGAAGTGATATGGCCGAGGGATGGAAACAGTGACGCTCGTCCACCCTCTCGTTTTCTACGCAAATCTAGTTCATCTGCTTTCTGTATATTTGTCTTGGCACTGCACTCAGATTTGTACATTCACCTCAACTTTACCGCAGTTTGGGCAATCAATAAGCTGGGGTTCCATATCTGTTGCTCAATTCTTTTATCGAACAACTGAATGCGTAGTCGAAATACAATAATCAAAACCGATGCATGAAAAAATACACGAACGATAATCGTGTAAACTAAAACAAACTATTCTCTGTCAATACCGAGCACGAGTTCAGAGCCTACCTCTGTAGTTCGGATACTCAATCGCATTGAATCGCGATTATTTGACACAAACATCGAATCGTTTAGGCGAGTGTGCTCAAAAGTCTGGTAAAACTTTGTTAAAGCATCTGGGAGATTGGACACTCGTTCTTGTCGTTGTTCTGCTTTTTGAGATCTTTAAGTCGTAAAAAAACTAGTTTCCGCGAGCTATTTGTCACATGACTATTCCGTCATTACTAACATGGCAATTAGTTCGATTACGTAGTTTACTTTCATTCTCTTTACGCTAAGCACATCAAAAAATTCGACGACAGCAGACGATAATATGACTTGGGCGCAATAAAATACCAATGCAGATGGGAAAATTGCGCATCGTTTAAGAATGACACACGCACTTTCCATTTTGACATCTTAAACCGTGTCGGTTTATGGATCGGGTAAAACATAGTCTCTACTCAGCCGAGTTCACTGCTTGTCCCGAACGACATTACGCTTGACCTGAATTACCACTGAATGAAAGCTGATCGATAATCAGCAAGTAGATTAGTTCACCAGATAAAATGAGTTAGATGCTCATACCTGATAACAANACAAGGATGTTGCATCAGATTCATGAAATAGTGAGGAAGCAGGGCGCGGAGAAACTCTCCTTCACGATGTTGCACTGTTTTGATAATGAACTCGTCATCCTGGGTGATGTAGAAAATCGAGCCGCTAGCCCCGGGATTTGACAATTCACGGAGCTCGTGATTGCATATCGAGTTCTGCGAAATTCCAATGGGGAAAAAGAGGACATGAGATGT